CTGTATGGGAGTAGGAAGCCTCTTCTCCGGAGGAGCACTTGGGAGTTTCTGAACTGCTGATGCTTCTGTTAGCAGCTCAACTTAAGACACGCATAGTTACTACTATTATTCACATTCTACAGATCAGAAAGCAGAAGCTTAGAGAAGTAAACTACCTTGCCAAAAGTCATAAAGCTAGCTATTTGGTGTTGGAATCTGGAGCATGAGGTGTAACTTGAGAGATTAGACTCCTATCTTCTATAAAACCCACTACCATTGTGCTAATTCCAACACATTGCAAGCACAGAACTGTTCCATAAGGTTTCCAAGAGGCAAAGAGCCTAGTCGTCCTCCCACTTATCTGTGAGTTATGACGAAAGTAAATAAAAATTGTATGAAGACCTCCTATGCTCTTTCTCAAATGACTATCAATGCATTAGTGAAAAAATCATCTAGAAAGTAGACAGTATGCTAAATACCCACTGCCTGGCAACATACCCCTACTTGCCCACATGATTGTTGCTGGAAAGGTCCTTCCTTTGCAAGGCCTCCACAGTAAATATCACTCAGTGTCCTGCTGTTACAGTGGAATTATTTTTGAAATTATCTTTAAATTAATCTTTTAAAATACTATACGCACTCTGAAAATAAAATGTGCTGCCCTCTTAAGAGTGGTGAAACACAACATTATTCCTTGACCTATTCATGGTCCTATTTCTGCTCAATTTCCTCCTCCCTCCCCCTACTTCCCCCACGCTTTCACATCCTTTAAGATGAGTTCAGTTCCTTCTTCTCAAGGCTCCAGGATGAAGGGGGCTTCAAAAAAGTCTGGGGGGTGGGGCGGGGGGAGACGACAACCATCATAATGATCAACACACAGACACACAACCACACACACCCCTCCAGGGCGAAGAACAATGGAAACAACAGGGGAGGGAGACAGTGGTCAGTGTGAGGTATGAAAATAGTAGTAATCTATAATCTATCAGGGGGGGGGCTGATAGGAAGGGCTCAATAGAAAGTTATTGTCTAGAAAAGAATGATGGGGACATATGTACAACTATGCCTGATACAACTGATATATGGAATGTAATAAGCATTCTAAGAGCACACAATAAAATGATCAAAACCAAAAAAGGCTGTGTAAAAATCCCATTATCTTTTCATTTTCCCACAAACCTTTTAAAGGTATGCACACTTTAACCCAATGGGGCTCTAACATTAAGCTCTGAAGTTTACCAAGCAGTTCAAAGTAAAAACTGAATTCAAGTAGAAAATGTAGTATATCTGATACATTTTCATCTATAGAATTGTAAGCATTTCTATTTATCTAGCTAATCCTTGGCATTCATAGTTAGCACATCGAAAAAAAAAACAAAACTATGTTTTAGCCTTTCTTCCCTCCAAAATTTTTCCACATGTTTTTTTTTTCATGAATCAATAAGGTCACCAAAATTTTTTAAAAACATTTAATTTTTTATTAAAGCCAAAACACTGTTACATGTTAATAAACATGTTTTTAGTAATGTAATTTATTTATTCTGATTCCCTTCTGGAGTTTGTTAATACAAATTCTTTGTAACTAAATATCCATAAATGCTAGTTACCTATTAATGGATTACTATGGAATTTCATTCATTTCACTTAAAAATTTGCCAGTATAACTTTTTTTACTTTTTAAACTTCTTAACCAAGAGGAGTATCAAACCAAAGGGACCTGTTTGAAACCTGACTCCAGTACTTACTGACACACCGAAAGCAGCCAGTTAACTTTCAAATACCTCACTTTATCTATTTAATTTATCTAAGCCTCATAACTCCTCACAAGATCTTTGTAAACCTTACATGATTGTATAATATACTTCGCATAGGTCTAGCATGTAGTATGTGCTCAATAAAGGGCAACCATGTCAACAATCCACAAAGTACAGTAGGAGTTGGCTGCTAGTTACCTTGCTAAAAAGATGGGGCTGTTTGAAGCTCACTATGCTAAAAAGGCATTAAAATGAAAAATCCCAAGAAATTTTTTACTTTTTTGAGATATACAAAGCACATAGGGTGAAATGACTTTAAAAAATTGCAATGGTGGTAAGAAGCAAAGGTAAAGAAAATCTTGAAAACTGTTGAGTTTGGGTGATGGATGTACAGCGATTCCTCATCTCTTGTGAAAATGCACATTTGGCAAACATGTATAGTTCCAATCTACAAAATGTGTTTAGCATATAACCAGTAGATCAGGATTTTAGCCATGACATGAACTAAAATGGTCCCTCCATGCAGAATAAGTCAGTCAGGGCCATGTTTTCTCAAACCATTCTCTCCATTATAAGTGTGAGCAAAAGGAGTAACTCCATGCACGCATTAAGGAGGGAAAAGAACACAAGTTTCTCAGCTGCTTGCTAATATCACATCAAAACGCAAGAACGCACATCCTCCCCAATCCACCCCCAAGTCCTTCAAAAATATTCCTTTGGATCTTACTTCATTTTCCTTGGGAATTGCAAGGCACAAAGAAACCTAAAGGGACATCATTATCAATTTGGGTGAAGGTTTCATATGATTTTTCCAGGTTTTGGATTGTATCCCTTACTAACAACACAGCAAACCAGTACAGGGAGGGAGGCAACTAATTTTCATGAGAGGCTTGGGAAGCTTTAACTGTCTCGATTAAGCTGTTAAAAGCAACACAAAATTTCAAGTCACACCTTGCCTATTTCTATGTAAACAAGCAAAACACTAGTAAAAACGAACGACAAGCATTGAGCAAAGAAACAACCATTGTGTTCGCCTGATATGAAGCTGTTGGCTACCTCACATACAAGTTTCAAGTGAAACCGATTTGCCATCGACAGCCATCCAACGATAAAGCACATTATGGATAACATTCAAACGCAGCACCTTTCTACAGAATTAACTAAGCCATCAGCAGTTTTACCTTCGGTTTCCCCAACCACTAAGCACAAGCAGGCGTCTCTTCTTTATTCTTTTTTAAATAAGCCATAAACTTTACTCCGGCCTAAATGATTTCATCTCTCCGTGCTTCCTGTGTACCGTGGGTGTCAATAACACTGAAGTCACATTTTAACATTCCCTGACTTGGTTTCGGGCGACGCATGGACGCCAAGCATCTGCCTCCCGTCCTCTCGTGACTCGGGCTACTTTGACGCACCGGGATGCGGCTCACCTGACATCCCGCACCCAGCAGGAAGGGAAACCAACTCCGCGGAAATGAACTGGGTCCACGGGGAAGCGTGCGGGGGCCGCTAGGGATCCTCTTCTGCCCTCGACCCCAAAGGGAGGGGACCACGCCGCCCCGGACCCTCCGAGGCGACTGCCACCTGCCACCCGGGCACCGCGGCGTCCGCCCCGACCCGGCC